CGAGCTGGACGAGCTGGAGAACTACAGCATGTACTGCGTGAGCTGCGCCGCCCCCGTCTGCTACCAGTGCCTGGAGGAGGGCAAGCACGGCCAGCACGAGGTGAAAGCCCTGGGGGCCATGTGGAAACAGCACAAGGTAAGTTTGGGGCCGTGCCGCCCTGACCCACCCTGCAGGCAGGGGCCTGAACTGGCACTTTGCTCAAAATAGAGCAGCCCACCACTGCCTCCGTATGTGCCATCTAGAAGAGTTTCCTAGAGACAAGGTTGTGTTAGCCAGGGACTTGCGCTCTGGGACAGTCCCTAAATGTCCTCTCCCAACTCCAGCCAGCCCCAGCACACCTATGGTAGGGGGGCTACTAAGATTCCCCTGAATTTGGAGAAATGCTCTGCTACCCCTTCAGGAGAGCGGTACAGTCACTTCATGTTACCTGATGCAGAGCATATTTAAAGGGGGCCAAGGATTTAGCCTCCGCAACCAGAAAGAAGTAGGGTAGCATTCTCTTTCAGTAGCAGTTCTTCTTGCAGGGGTTGGATCAGAGGGGGACAATGGATGACTCACCCTAGTATCATGATGCTTATCTGGACATTGAAGCTTCTTCATTCCATGATTCTATAGCCTTCAGCTTTCCTTTCCCTTTTACATAACTGCAGTAGCCCCCTAGTCCTTCCTCCCTTCTTGATTATGTCCCCATTAGACCCTGGGCACCATATTCCCTTCTTATGACCCAATAATCCAAACACTCCCTTCCTGTGATCTTGCATTAGGCCATAACATCTCATTTTTCAGCTCTCAAACCAAATATGGTTTCTTTCCAAATCCAAGTGAAATCAGAGAGGCAGACAGTTGTTGGGCCTTCAACAGCATCTGTATTTGTCACTTTGCTGTCAACATGTCAGCTCCCCACGACTCTTCTGCTTTTGAAATGGAGGTGCCCTTATCAACTAATCGGATAGTGGATGCAAATTGAATTGACTATTCGATTAGTTGATTAATCTAACTTTAACATCCTTACTGCAGAGTGGAAAGTTGTATAGAGTTTATTGGCAAGTGGTAGTTGGGCCTTTCAGAGGGTTGTGTGGCAGCTGTGAGCCAAAGTCATGATAGAGTTAAGGATGGAGGAGGTAAGAATCTCATTCACATTGATCCAAAACCTAGTGATGAGTAGTATTTGGTTAGGGAACAGATGAAGGCTTGGCCAGATTGTTCCAGTCTGGTTCACTCATCCCTAGTATAATTTGAAGCATTCAGGGAATCTTTTTTGGAGGGGGGTTGCAGATAGTACTTTCACATCAGAGGGGTTTGCTGATATTTGTGTGCAAGATGGGGCTGCTGGGTAGTTTAATCATGAAGTCTTTGTGTATAAAAAGCTGTGGTAGTTCTATATCCTTTTTGGATAAGAGACCAAGAGGTGATTGTCATAAAATTGATTTGAAGCAGTAGCCTTGCCAGGAAGTCTGGACTTTGATTGGATTAAGAATTAATTATTAATACTTTACATGTTTGGAGTGCTCATCCTCCTCAGCACTTTACAAAGATCCATACAGCAGCACCAAGGAGGGGCCCACCCAGAACTCCCAAACATGAAAGAAGAGCACCCAACTGCTATAACCTTTCAGGTGGGGCAGCATGCTTCCTTCTGTGGGCTACTAAAGAGGAAAGGCTCACCTCCTCCCTATTCCCTTTGATATGATTAGGTCCTTTGTGATAGTGGGAAAGTATTTAATAATTTCTTGCTATTGCACAGGGATAGAAAATTCTTGTGCCCAGCTCAGTGGCTTGCCCACACACTAGTGCTGATGCAGAACAAACGGCTTCAATTTGTAAAAACTCATGGTAAGATCCCAAATGACATCCACTGCACAGAACTTAATTTATTGATCAGAAGAATGAGTTGCTGAATCAGTCCTGGAAATAAATCCAGGTATTTCCAGCCAAGGACTTACTAATCTACTAACCCATCTCCTGAATAAGTTGAGTTTTTGTGCTTAGGAGTTAAATTCACTAGATTCATAAGCAGCAGCTCATGAATTCACAGCTATTGCCACTTATGCTAATTGCAGAATCTGATTTTG